ACACACACACACACACACACACTAAAGCAGTGTAATGCCCAGCCATCCAATTCACAATGGGTTCAGGAGTCAGGTAAGAACACACCTACATACTCTCTCTCTCTCACACACACACACACAAACACAAACAAGCTACTGCTCTCTTTTTTTCCTCTCAAACATACTGCATTCATCCATCCAGCCTTCAGATTTGCCTTTCATTCCCCCTGACCGATACCTGAGCGCACCCTCCCCACCTCACACATGCACACACAAACTAATAGTGGAATTTAGAGGCCATCGGTGAAGAAAATGAAACATGGTAGCACTGCAGGGGCAACAACCAAAGGTAAATACACTGTGAAAAAGAAGGACAGAAAGAAAGATAGACATTTCAGGTGTAAATCAATCTTATCTTATATATCCCTGGCTCAAAGGTCCCTGATAAGTCTTGCAAAGGCTACGGTAAACAAAATTGATCATTACAAAATTCATGAGGTCCAGAAATCCAAACTTGGGTCTCTCTCCTCCTGGAGGGCAATGCTATTATTTTCCTCCATCCCTCGCAACAAATCTACACACTCGGTGGCTAAGACTTGAGAAAAGGGCAAATTTGCATACCTACCATAAGGAAGAAAATCTGATCATATAAATGTAAATAAGGTGAGCTTAACTTATATTTTCCCAGAGAAAACAGTAAACCGATAACACGGGTGAGCAGCAGGCGGAGAAGAGGGAGGTGGATGGAGAGGCGAGGGCTTCAAGGGGCTCGTGGATCAGTAGTTGCATTAATGTCAGGGACTGACGGAGGGAATCTGCTGGTTTTACACACACCGGCACAGGCTTGCAATGTGCACTGCTCTGGACGCACAGCAGGAGGCAGTAGTGCAGCAGCAGCAGCATATATGCAAACACACAGTTCTGCAAACTTTCAGTGTCTGTTCATTTAGCCACATATTGTTTCACAGTTTTCAGTCAAATTGCTCAGCACATAACTATTGTTCCAAATAATAACTGTAATCACGACATCAATCTAATCTTTGTTTCCTCTGCAAAAGGCCATCACTCACTATATTTAACAACAATGTTAAACAGAATGCAACTAATAAAAGTTGATGTAACCATCCTCTACACTGTGATGTTGAAAGGTAGCATCTTGCCTCTGTCCCATCTGTCTCTGTCTCTCTCTCTGACCAAGAAAATAACATTTATCTCTGGTTCTGATGGGAAATGTAGTTCATTGCAATGTATTCTGACAACTCAACGGAACAACGGAATGCAAAGTAGAAGGGTCGGAGGGCGCATACAAGCCCTGTTTTGCCATGTTAAAGAAAGTGAGGGAAAAAAAATCCTCCGTCCAGTTATTCAGATCAGCTTTAAAATTGAATGGGCTCCTCTTTGTAACCCACCAAAACCCTGCTCTACAAACTTTGAAATTGGTTCAGTAGTTTTTGAGCAATCCTGCTGAAAGAGAAACAAACTCCAATGTGGAGGTAATAATAGGAAATCAATTTTGAGGATTTAAACTAATGCAATTTTTTACTATTGTTTGCTGGACACTCAGAAGCATCAACTCTGCACTAAAGGACAGAACTTCTCCAACAGTATATGAATGAACGTCATTGTTGAATTCGACACAAGCTTTTGACTACTTTAGCTAATATACAGTATTCGGCTGCAAGGCACACAGGCTTTCAGACTGAATGTAATTTTGACAGAGAAAAGTTCCTGGCTGAGAAGACAGAAGACAAGCACTTTATTAGCCTGCTCCGGAACACGCTGCTCTGCCTACAGAGAAAATGAAAGGACAATCTCTCCGGCTGTACGCGCACTGAGGGCTCATATCAGATTATTTCCCCCACCTATTGTGACTTAGAATTTGATCTTTTCATTTCTGCCCAAACACTCAATCTGATTTCCCCCCTGTTCTGCCACACAATGGAAACATCAGATATATGCCACAAACTGCAAGAGAAACAGGAAAATAAAATTGGGTCTGAGGGCGCTGTTTAATTCTTCCTCAGAACAGCACATCCCACTGAAGAACAAAATGTGATTTACATTTTCATGACCTCAGAGTGGGTTTCATCACAGTATGACTGTGAGGATGCCAACACGGTCAATGGCGCATGAAACTGCCTCTTTTTATTGGCATGGCATTCAATCAGTTCCTCTTGGGTATATGTCCTCGGCTTTGCAGTAGGGGCCACCTACGTATAACAGCACTCCCTGCACCTGCCAACATCTTACTACTCAGTCCGTTTTAATGTCGTCCCCCCCAATCCCACCCACACTTCCATCCCTGCATAAATGCAATCAGCCCTGTCAAGAAATGCAGAACCGCTCACTCTCTTCCTCCATTGTTTCTGATTGATTATGCAGAGGAACCGTCGGTCTGTCCTCCCTTCCCTCCACATATCTTTGAATTCCACCGCACTTGGCTTGAAGCCAAGAGATCCTCCCCCATCCTTCCTACTCCCACCCCCTGACCTCATAGGGTGCCCACCCACCTATACATAAACCTCCTCCACCTCTAGTAAGGTGAAGGTTGCCCTCAGCGACTGAAAAGCAAAAGGGAACAAGGTGGGAGGATGATAACGTTTTTACAATACTAAAGACGAAAAAGTAAATTGTACCATTGCCCAGCCAGGAATCGAACACAGAAGACAAACACAGATGGCATAGGTGAAAACCTTTAAGGCATAAAGATATTTCTGAAGAAGTGATTGAAGAAGCAATGTTTCTTATACCTAGCCCACAAGGGAGCCGCCTATCTGCCACAGACTAAAAGGATGGCCACATCAGAAACCATTTCTCATTTTATTACTCTGGAGGAGTTGTTTTCCTCCAGCAGCCTGGCAGCGATGGGTAGACATACAACTGCCTTGGCATGCCGAAGCACCTTGAAGGCTGATGGGGGGTCTATATCTCATTGTCAATTGCCTCTGTTATCATGCAATGCACATTCACTCACACTCTGCATCAGTGTGAGTCTTAACTGATGTGCCAGTCAGTCAGCCCCATTAAACCCCAAAGCAGTCCCTGGGCAGCCCTTTTGTCTTCACTATTTGTTCCCCTCAGCAGCACTAAACAGCAGCTCCCACAACATTCACTCCAGCTAAACAACCTTCGCCTCCCCAGAGAGGTAAGACGTCTCCTCTCCCACCTCCACTGGCGACTTTAATGAAATATGCAGCTGTCTTTTAATCAAAACAAGGCCAATTTGCATACGGACAGCAAGGAACGGGAGACCCTCCTCCTCTCCCCCCACCCTCACAGCACCAGAGCTGGCTGCGATCCAAGCAGACGAGTGCCCCGATGTCGGAGCGGCAGCAGGAAGGAGATGGCAAGGAGGCGGAGGAGGAGGAACGGGAGATGCAGGATGTTTAGATTGGGGCAAGGGGAGGGAATGGTGGAGTGGGAGGGGCGGGAACATGGCTAGAGACCTAGAGACAAGCAAAATCCAAATTAAGCAAACGAACAGATGGATGTTGCACATTAGCATATATCAACAACAAACAAGGGCGCCATGCTTCGTGTCCAGGAGAGTGAGTTGGCAGAGCTGAAGGGTAAATGGGGCAGGGGATTAGAGGTGTTCTGTGTATGTCCACGTGTACACATATTTGTTTTTACATAAATAAGTTGGTGATACAGGATGACAAAGATTACAATTGATGGCATGCACAGTTTTAATAAATGCAAAGCCATTAACGATAAGCGATTAATTAGCAACAAATTACCTTGCGTCGATTATTTTGGAAGCGCAGCGAGGCGGGGAGTGTCGGCCGGGCAATGGGCTGCGATCTTTTGTTTTGTGCTGTTTTCACGGCTCAGGACGGAGGAACCGGCAGATACAGCAGAGTTCTCTCTTCTGTGAAGGAGACAGAGGCTGACGAAAGATTTGTGTGCACATGTGCGTGTCTGTTTGGGAAAATGAGAAATGCAACTAGCCACTTGTGCCACCCCAGCACAGATAGGCGTTGGCTCTCTTTAAAAAAAAAAAGGAAGGTTTACCACGCAGATGGTGAACTGGCTGACTGTAGGTCTTGGCTGTCTGGTTGTCTGGCTGGCCTGGTGGCTCATTGGCTGTCTGGCTGGAAGGATTCTGCCTGGTAACGACCAGAGCCAGTGAAGCAACAAAGAAAGCTGATCTTTCCTTTGGATATTTGGTGTAAATTTATACATGGATTGATGATAATTTGGCATTCAGTTTCATCTGACAAAAACATAACAATAGTGGACAAGGCAAAATGCTGTATGTTGGCTTTCTACCAACCATGTGCACCATGAATCACAGTATTCCTGCCAGAAGACAGTGGTAACATGCCGCCACGGAGCAATATGGTGGTGGACTGAAGCGTAGTGATATATTAGGCTATGTGATCCAGCTGAGACTCATAATGTACCTGCTGTTAGATTTGGCATCCATTTCTATATTTCTGCAGCAGCACCATGGTAGAGGGAAGAGCCACAGCTGAGCCATTTACATTTTTCTCATTCAAGTGAAAAAGCTATAAGCCTGTGAATTATTAACAAGCCCCTTAAGAAAAGAACCCACACACTCATACCTCGCCAATCGAGCATTGGATAGACACCTGAACATGGAGCCTGCTGCCTGCTGACCAGCTGCACACCATCTGAAAATAAGAGACACATTTCACCATGCTTTAAAACTTGTCATATTTACCTTGTTTGATCTGATGTAACGTAAAATGACACCGTGTAGCTGATATTGTTCAACGGCTGATTAACTCACACCTTTCAGTGTTTCACAGTGTGCTACTACACGCATGGCTCGCTGCCTGAGCTGAACATAGGCCGTCTGCAAGACCTAACTGTAGCTGCGCCTTCTTCCTCGGGAGAAAACTCAAAAACATGATTAAAGTATCCCAGGTGACATTTCCTCTGTTCTTGCGACTTCTGTCAACATATTTGTTAGAAACAGTGACGAGTGCTGAGCGAACAACAGGCCAGTTCAGGCTCATCACGTTCAGCCACCTCTTTAGCTTTAGTTGTTCAGTGATAAGAACAGAAATCCTTCTGGATGAGTCCAATGCATGCTGTGATAAGCCAGGGACCTGTGAGGTAAATTGAATAATTGAATGGATGAAGGACTGACTGAATAAGTGCTGACAGCAGATTTTAAAGGAGAATGCAGGATGTTATCATTGAGATATTTGGAGGTGTCCTGCAATTCAAACTGTGGCTACCACATGACAATACACTGTTATATGTCTTCCAATTAAAATCATAACTCTATAAATGTACTGCACTCACTTTGCCATTTGGATATTACATATTGAATCTGTTCACAAGAAGCAACAGAAGCCCGGCTGCTATATTTATGCATTTTCTTACAAACTATTATCGAGTCACTCATGGAAACTACATTGTTAAGAGTTAAAGATTCTTCTAAATGTGCCAGTGCTCATGAATCTGAAGAGCTCATTCCTAGCTGGAGCTAATGAATTGATGGATATTTGAGTTTGACGTAGAATTCCACGTTGGGAATACAGGATACATGATAATGTTACAAATTAAAGACCCACAGTGAGGGCAGCAGTGCAGTTACTAGGCAAACAGCACGATCATTTTATTTTAACATTAACCAGGGCTGTCATTTGACGTAGCTAACTTTGTAAAAAGCCTCATGTATCACTGCGTCAAGCTGCAGTTTCTCACTGGATTATGCATCATGTTAACTGCCAATGATTGTGTGCAGTTACAAAAAAGGTATGAAATAAAAGAGTGTGTGTCGCATTCGAATCCACATCCAAACAGTAATTCCATGGGTTTGTAGCTGCATTATGTCTACGTAATCAAAAAGATAAGCTGTTATGACACATGTGATGTCTTTTCGGCCCAGTGCTGTTTGCACATTGTTGATTGTATGAAAACAAAACAGTTCCAGCCCTGAAAAGGCATTTTATCAAAGGGTCAACATGGATTTAGAAAACGTGAAATAAAAGTTGATTACAACAGCTGACTACAATCTTGTGACCTGCAACCAAAGAGGTTTCACACCCTGGATGCACACCCACTGTTTGCCCACAAGAAACCAATCTATAATAAATTGAACTAGTCTAAAACGAAAAATAATTAACTCCACAATATGAGCGACTAACGCAGTGTATCACATTAACACATTTGTTCACACTCTGTAGATCGTAAAAGATGGCACAAATGCACAAATTAGATGGATGGTTGTTTTAACGAAGCAATTTCAGGGATTGTGTTAACTCAGTCGTCCACTTCTGTGCCCATCATCATTTATATTCAGCTTGTTAAGAGTTGGGTGGTGATAATCAAAAAAAAGAAGGTAAATTAAAGCTAAAACAAAACCCAACAGTGAGTGTTGTTAAATCACACACTTTTTCAATTTGATAAAGCCTTTCCTTCTTCATGTGTCTATACACATAATTAAGACCGTGATTAAAGCAAATAGTTGCTGGGATTGCATCTTGGTTGAAGTACAAAACCAGCCATGAGGTACAAGAACATCAAATGTAAAAAAGTGACAAGCTTTACTCTAAGAGGCTTCACCTGCTTCATTGCTGCACACGTGTGTTAACCTGGGTTTCCTCGTTACAGAGCACAGCAGCACATGTTCTATATATGCTCCACTTTTCCCAATCATCCAATAAGGGATGGACACGTATAAGGCCCGCCCCTGAAAGATGTTGCACCCAGCAAGAAATATTCAAAATAAAAGCCCCAGGAGTTTTATTTTTGAGGAAAAAATTTAAATATTAAGATTTATCTGGTAAAGGATGAGCATTGTACTTTCCTTCGGTTTTCTGTTTTATTTCGATTTTTTAAATATATTTGATATATGTTTAATATAAATATACATATTCAAACTGTCATCCCATATATTCAGACATTTCAGTCAATATATTCAAGGTTCATTCCATTAATCTGACTGTCAATCAACATTGGATAATCTATAAAGTTCAGCCTTTTTTCTGTCATGAGCTGAAGTGTATTTGAAGAGAACTCTTGGAATAAATCCATTAGTGATCACATATTTAAACCAACTAAGAGCAAAGGAGAGAAATGTGCTCTGAGGCCTGTCAAAATGACAGATTTTCAATAAATCAAACACAATCTTTGGCTTTTTGATCAAAGGTTTTCTGTTTGTCCTTTTTGAGGAGGATACAAATGTTGGAAATGATTTTTCCCTGCTGCAGTTTTTTCAGATCTGCCATTTCAAGACAAAACCCCAGAAGGCTCAGTTTGGCTCAGACAATCTCTCTTTGTGCCATGAGGTAATCCTGTCTGGTTTCTGAACAAATCTGTCCTGGTGTCATACGATGTAAAATCAAAATACGGTGTAGACTTTGGTAGATGATGGGAGATTCCTGGTTAGACTCACAAAAACCACAGCTACTTATAGCCACAACCTGTTCCTGCCAGAGCAGCTGACAGTGTTGCAGCAGTGTCAGACGTCATTATCACTCACCTTCATGCTGCAGGACGGCTGAAACTGTTTAGATAGAGGTGTCAACAGTAGAGGTGAGCGCTCCATAGACTGAATGATTTTTACTGGAACTTTCATTGTCTCTCACCTTCACATGTCTACAACGTGTGAAAGGGTGACGATGACCTCGGATAAACAACACTGTCGACATGTTACGATCAATAGCGAAGTTGAGTGGGAGCGTGTGGTGGGAGGTGTGAATTAGAGGCCCTGTTAAAACGCTGCTGTGCTACCATGGCATTATGCTACTGTGAAAGCTGCACATTCACATCTCCTCTCAGTTGGGTTTGTGTTGTGGACGTGGTTTACTCTTTGTTTTATTCTTTCTCAATAAAACCATTATGAAGTGAACTGAAGAAGGATGAGTTCGTCTCCTTGCGAAAATTAAATTTCTCAATCCACATTCACTGGTGAGCATATCGTACACACACAAATACAAAATGTGTAATTTACTTTTCATACAATCATGCCTGCTTTTACTGTTGTTGTCAAGTGAAAAGCAGGTAATGTAGGTTTTTTTTATATCAGAATGGCTAAATGACTCATGTCAGCACTTTCTGAGATGTTCTAAATTTACTGCAGTAATAATCAGTGTGTGGGTGTTTTCACCCCTGCAGTCTGTGTGTGTGTTTCTCTGTTTGTTCATCAGCAGGATCATGTAAAAACTACTGAATAGATTTTTTACAAATGTTGGCGGAAGGATGAGACGTGAGCCAAGAAAAAATCCATTACATTGTTGACACTGATCTGGAGGGCACCACTATAGCAACTTTTTATGAGTAGTTTTGGATATCTTAAAAGATTCCTTGCACAATAACAGATGAATCATAACAAGAAAAATTTGACTGATATCAAATCCCTAAACTTGATCTAGTGAATTTAAATGTGGTTTAATAAGGGGTCTGTTGGGACTTGGCAGAGGTACTTGCTCTACTAAGTGAAATTTAAGTTCCTTAATTAAAGACATAATACCTCATTAAACATTCAAGTACATGAACTTGTTTCACAGGATAAAATGTATATGCAAAAGACTTTGACTCTAAGAGTACATGTATATTACAGTCTCTATAAACATGTTGTAGAGGCCTCGGGTAATTAAATAATGTTATCACGACTTCCTGGATTTAACACTGCATAATAATGACAATGAACACAACTGACTTTAAACAATAAAAATATCAATCTTTATTCTTTGAGATATAGCATATCAAAGACAAAACCTTGATCTATAATACCATAACAAATTACACAAGAACTATACAACAGTAAACAAAGTGTAACCTAATGACTTTCTCTGGATAAAGGACAATAGTTCTTTCTTCTCTTTGCATGTACAGAAAATATTTTTAATGTGACACGAAGATGCAAAACAAACACTGTTGATTTATGTTTATCAGGAAATAAGGAGGATGTTATAAATTCAGATGTAGCCTCTATAAAACTTCCGTTGAACATAAATGAATGCAGGTTTTTTTTCTGTGTAAATTTATGGGTGTTATACAAATTCTTCCTGTTAGTGGAAAGGAAACATCCTCCTGTGATTAAAGCGCTTTAAGCTCTCAATGTAAATGT